GTAATGTTTACGGGTAAACACGAAAACCTGCAGGTTACCATGGAGAGACCAGCTTCAGGTGGCCTAGAAAAAGCATGCTGGTGTTTGCTTTGTCTTTTTCTGCGTCTCGTGCAGCCTCTTTCAAGTGTCCCTCGTACCTAGCTGTCGTTTATTGCTTTATGGCTTTGCTACTTCTCACAGCACTCCCCTGTGTTTTCTCACAGATATCTTCCTGATGGGGGCCCAAGGCCACTTCTGAGGTCAAAATTACCTCCTTCCAGACACACAAAACACTGTTATTAATGATTGACCCTCTTCCTAAACAAATGCTTATCAATTAGCACCACAAGTTTTGCTAATCACATCCTTCAGTTGCACAATCAGATGCTAGGCCCAACACTGTCTTCATTCACAGCAGCCATTTTCATATTAGCATACAGTAGAAAGTAAAAGAAAAGAAAAGCTTGACCACAAAGGCTAGCAGCCATTTAATGCGTATGAATGCAATGGCTGCTAGTTTTTACTGATTCTTAGAAGTGGCTAACAATAGCTGCTAGATTTCGTTCATTGTTAGTAGGAATGTACTGATACAGGAATGCTGGGCCAATGCTGGTGTTTTTCATGTAGGCTACGTACCTGTCGATACTAATGCTGATATATACAGATCTATTAGAGGTAGAAATGATGAGAAAAAATGTAGAAATGATTTCTATAGGCTTACAACTGCAAGAAAGCTAATAACATACAGACATTCTACTGTAGTACCCCAGCATGTCTACAGTCTTCTGAGCAGATCAACACAAATTGACACAAATTTAATCATCTGTCCCGTGCTGCAAGTTTACTTATATTCCCATATAGTTATAACAATGTAACCACTTATAACTACATACACTGTATGGACAAAAATATTGGGACACCCCTCCTAGTTATTGAGTTCAGGTGTTTCAGCCACACTCATTGCTAACAGGTGGATAAAATTAAGCTCATAGCTTTGCAGTCTTGAAGGACAAACACTGGCAGTAGAATGGGTCGTACTCATTAGCTTAGTGACTTTAAACATGGCACTGCCATAGGATGCCACTTCTGCCACAAATCAGTTTGTGAAATTTCTGTCCTGCTAGATCTGCCCCGTCAATTGTAAGTGCTATTATTGTGAAATGGAAGCACCTTGGAGCAACAAGTTCCAATTTGCCTCTGGAAGCAACATCAGCAAAAGAACTGTTCTTCAGGAGCTTTACAAAATGGGTTTCCATGGCTGAGCAGCTACACACAAGCCCAAGATCAAAATGCACAATGCTAAATGGTGGGGAAGTGGTGTCAAGCACGCTGTCACTGGACTCTGGAGTCGTGCATACGCATTCTGTGGCATGATGAATCACCCTTCTCTTTCTGGCAGTCTGATAGACGAGTCTGGTTTTGGCAAATGCCAGGAGACCTTTACATGCCTGACTGCATTGTGCCAACTGTAATGTTTGGTGGAGGAGGGATAATGCTGTGGGGTTTTTTCTAAGGGGTTGGCCTAGAAATCTTAATGCTTTAGCAGACCAAGACGTTTTGGACAATTCTATTCTTCCAACTTTTTGGGAACAGTTTGGAGAAGACACTTTTCTGTTCCAGCATGACTGAGACCCAGTGCACAAAGCAGCTCCATAAAGGCATGGCTGGGTGAGTTTGGTGTGGAAGAACTTGACTGGCCCACACAAAGCCCTGACATCAACACCATCAAACACCTTTGGGATGAACTAGAACAGAGATTGTGAGCCAGACCCTCTCACCCAGCATCAGTGTCTGACCTCACAAATGCTCTATATAATAATGTGAATAATAATTCACAGAAGTCACTGAATAATTCATAGCAGTTACTAAATAATTAATAGTAGTTACATAACAGTTCTCGGTAGTTACTAGATAATTCATAATAGTGGAAAATATATTTTATGATTAATAACTGAAAACTACGGAAACTCATCTAATCATGTTATTCCAGGTCTTTCTAAATTATCAACTTTTTCAATGAAGAAGTCCTGTAATGGTCCATTTTTAGTTATCAAACACTTTTCAGTACAGAAGCATGTACTTTTTTCTGAGAGGAACCAAGTTGCCATATAAACCTGTCAAACATACTGCAACCTTTGTTCCTGAAGCTTGTTAGGTAGCTTATGGGCTTTTGCTTGATCTCGCACAGTACACAGTCATCAAACTGTATTTGCTTGTAGGACTTTGGCCTTAAATGGTGGTGTTAACTATATGACTCAACACGTAGCTGTTAGTCCAGTGACATCAGTACTTCCAGTAAACCACGGTACAGATTAATAACTCTCCACATTATAAACACTTTTCATTTGTGAATGTATGTGTCTGTGTAAGAAAAGTAGACATCCCTGCCATTATATTTTTCCTTACCCAGTTGAATTCATTAATTATTCTACTTGCTGGTTTAAGCTAATGAGCAGATTAGCCTGGGCAGAATGTCTCCTGTCTTATATTCGGTACTGTACAAAAGTCAGAGACCGCATGACTTTTCTCACTGAGGCTTCTTGACAGCTACACATCCTTTCAGACCCATAGCGCTGAGTTGTCTTCTCACAGTGGAAGGATGGACAGAAACACCTGTGGATGTTTTCAGATCTGAAGCAGCTTGAGTTTCTCCTCTCTCTCAAAGATGAAAGCTTCACGTACTGTTTATCTGATGGAGTCAGTTTTGGTCTCTGCCAGGTCTTCCAGGTGGTTGTAGCTTTTTAATTATTTTTGAGCTCCATTTTTGGGGGCTTTCCCTTCTTTATGCAAGTGGATTATCTTATATCTAATCTTCTCAGAAATACCTCCTGAAAAATAAATAGCATGTACTTAATGGCTGTTTTGACTGGAAATTAAATAAATGAAGAGCAGTCTCTGACTTTTGCACAGTACTGTATATTTCAGAGCTCTGATATTTCTACATGTATTTGTTGATTTTTACTTTTTCTTTGTCAGAAATGTACCTGCAGCCTAGATTTATCCAATGAGTCCATTTCAGGAACAGTTAAGAATAACCTTTTCACTCAGTGCTCTGGAGTAATCTCTGAAAGCGGTAAGCTGGCATTAGTGTCATGCAGTGAGACAGGACTCAGGCTCAGGGATGTGTTTAGAGAGCTAAAAACAGTGTTAGCCGCATGTTAAACTTGTCCAAGACACAAGCCATAAGAACTAGAGTCAAGAAAAAGGTGATGAGGTATTGCTTTTAAGAGCTGTTTGCTATTGTAAGACCTGAACTGAGCATTTTCCTTCGGTACCATGACGTATTTGCGAGTGAATGACGGTCTCAGGGAGGGTCTCTGAGCTAGCTGAGCATTTACTTTTGACGGTAGGTAGAGGATTGTGGTGGGGGGGAGGTTTTTCAATCAAAAAGTTGCATGATGTGATGAATTATGCTTTATATGACCAGTGACATGAGTTGACAAAGTGAAAATGGCCACTTTAAATATGTATATATCAGTTAGTTGTTGAAAATATGGTGCTATTTTATGCATATGGACAAAAGTTGATTTTTGCATTAATGAAACATCTCACTTCACTTTTGTCTTCCACTTCATATACTTCTGGCAATTATTGTGTTGATGTAATGCAGAAATAATGTGCATAGTTGAATGAGTGAAATGAAATGCACCACTTTTTTGATTGCATGCTGTACAATAAGAACAAGAACAGAATCTGTTTACCTAACTGGATTGTAATCTATATGAGAGATAAAAGATATTATATCAGAACAGTTTATTTTTATCAGACTATTTTAATTCTGCATTCATGTCAGACATAAACATCTGATATCATATGAAACCCAGTATATACCCACACTGTGTTTGCATTTGCTTTTCTGTGGCTGGCTGAATAGGAGCTGTAGTATAAGCTTAAACAGCACTGAGTCATTGGGCATCACGTGCTGATCTCTACTTTGACCTGCTGATTCTTAGCAGCTTATGGTGTTCACTTTACAGTCCTTCCTTTTAAACTGCATTATAGACTTAGCCGGTGAGTTTGGATATGCAAATGGGCTTAACGTGGACCTTTATTGAGATTATTGCCTTCAAATCAGATACCATAAGCCTTGTAATTGTATCTATGTACACAGAAGTCCTACACTGGACAGAGAACAGAGGGAGAAAGAAAGAAGGGAACAGTGGTGATGCTGGGTGGTTGGCTTTCAGAAAAGGGAACTAACAAGCTGAATGAAACTCTGCCAGTGAAGAGGGGTGGAGGGGTGGAGGGGTGTTTAGGCGGGGGTCATTCGAACAATTGCATCATAATAAAGACCTTCGAGCAACTCCGCACAGGTACAGTGTTCAGGTTTGTTTCTGGAAGTTTTGAGCTGGTGAGTCATTGGCTTTACTCAGAAAAAATTGGTAAATATTTCAGACTTCAATTAAAGTTGTTATTATAGGCTGGGAGTCCAGGCATGAAACTTGGTGGGAAGAATCCTGACACAAACAGAAAGCTGAGAAAATAAGATTAAGGGGCTTACTGTCATTTTCTTCCAGAAGATTACCTACAGCATTTCCAAATTGGCAAAAAAAAACTCATTGTCCACTTCAAATGCAGTAGTTGTCATCAAAAATGTATATGTATTAGCACATATTATCGTAAAAATAAACATTTTTGTCATTTGCATCTAGAAAATGCCTGAAGTTCATAAGCTTCAACTGAAGCCCAAGATGACCTTTTTACCTTGAAAATTATGCTTGCGTGCTGGTTCCCGGGTGGAGGTTTCCATTACATGTTAGCTACGTTAGCCTCATAACTCCAGTGCAAAACTAAAGAAGCAAACTTCAGACACCAAACATGTCTTGACTAATTCTCTATATTTGTGATATAGGCAAAAGATATATGAACTTAATTTATCAACAAGCTGTGGCTTTCATTGTACTGCCTGACTCTACCATCTTCTGATCATTTCTGTTGGAGAAGAAGGTATAATGGGTATTGGCCATTGAGTGTGTGATGAAAAACATTTGAGTGTTTGACTTGAATGATGTGTTTTGCAGGTATGGAGCTGTGTGAGGCTGTCTGAATGTCTGCCATGGCAATGAAGAGGCTTCCTCTACCTGAACTCATCATTACTGCTGTGGTCTTCATATTTGGTAAATATACAAACACATATATACAGCTCATATAAACTGGGTTAATAGCATACACAAAACAGCACATATGCACTAGGGATGCACCAATATGGGGACTGTGGGCTGGTATTTTGCATATACATATCTGCCAATGCTGATTCATAAACATTTATAAAATGTAGAAATGTAGAAATTTACCTTGATTAGTATTACAGAGAAATATAGAAGATATTTTTATAGTATTACAGATGCAGTAAAATGAATACAGTCCAGTAACACATGGACATGTCCAGATATCAGTAGTCTTTAGAATACTATATTGTCTCCTCTTTATATCACCACATTGATTTTTTGACTGTTTTGATCGATAGTGTATCAAGTAATACTTAGAAGTCATAGAAGTTACTGGGTTAAAGGGTACAGTAGAGGTACATTTTTGTTTTTGAAGTTACAAACAATATAAATCCACCCTCAAACATACAACAGTGGTCTTAAGGTCCAATTGTGTACTTTGAATGAGTTTTAAAGGTGCACTACATTGACAAGGGGCATATTTGTACTGTTTTGTAACCTTTTCATAAACTTTTTAAAGTAGAAGCCTGGAGTACAAACAGAGTGTATGCAGTCAAAGCAGCTTAAATAAATATGATTGCAAAAGAGTATGGTACAACTATGTTACCTAGACAAAGGTACTGAAGATGTTCCTTTGAGGGTACCACCCCAGTGATAGTTTAGTATTTAAGTGTACTTAAATTTAAATGTCATTATGTAATTTTTTTAGATAAAATTAGGTATTTTATTATATATAAGTACCGACGTAATTAGTGACTTAGTTTTATAATGAATGAACATTAACATTTGATTTACACTGTAAAGTATATTGACAGTTTCAAGTCTGCCCTTCAGATTTTTTCTGTTTGTTTTGATGCAAAGAAATGAGAAAACATTGTAAACATTTTAAGCATGTTTTTCTTTCTGCAAAACAGTTCAATTCATAATAAAGTATCTCCATTTCTACTTACAAACAGATAAATTCGGTATGAGTTTACAGTTTAGAATCTGCACTTTCAATGCAGTTTCTCTCTTTTGCTTTTTTTTCGAAAGCAGTGAAAATTAAGCAATATAAAATTACACCGTGCTCTGGCTAGAGCAACTCCTAAGGGTCGCCTCACTAATCCCCTCTCTTGGCTGTGTTAGGTGTAGCTGATTGTGTGGGTCCAACGGTGTGGGGGAAGCAAGGTGGTTCAGCTTTACTGAAGTGCAGCCTGGCTCCAGCTGAAGGCTCTTCAGCCCCTCTGCATGTGGTGGAGTGGGTCCGCCAGGGCTACGACATACCAGTCCTCATCAAATTCGGATCATACGCACCACGAGTGCACCCCAACTATGAAGGTGAGTCCCCTATGCCAGTGTTTTAACCAGTTAAAATAAAGTAATTGTGCAGTTACTGAGCTTAAAGCTTAAAAGAATACTACAGCGTTTTTAAACCTGATTTCTATCTTTGCATCTGCAGGACACGGTCAGACAATACTTTAAAGGTGTTTTCCTGAAGTCTATTGCCTATTGACTAAATGATTTGTAACAGATGTCAGTGGGCTGGTGCTGAGTCATCTGCCCATTGCCTTCCACTATGGTGTGTTTTGAGTTAGCAGGTTATCTTTTCTTTTCTGTCAAAGTTGTTGTCGTTGTATCCTACAGCTGTGACAATTTGAAAAGTGTTGGAGTATTTAAGGCATATAATCCAGTAACTACTATGAAATAAGTATGCAAAAGATGGTGTCACTGGAGTGAAGAGCTGAAATGTGGACCTGCTGACAGGTTCTGAGAGTATAAGGGGCTAATTAGATCCAGCTAAATTGTACTGGATTCAGGTTAACTTAGTTGGGCTAAATTCAGGGATCTGTAGTTTATATTGTTTATTTTTGTTGGTGCTGATTTTCTTTGCTAATCTCTCCATCTTCAAAGGGCTTTGAGGATTCCTACAGGTAGTAACAATCTATGACTTTTAGAGCTAGGTCTTCAATTGAAGCCATAAACATCAAAACTCAATCAAAAACCAAGAAAAATTATGCCTTCACAATAATTCTAATTTCTGCTAGCGCCCCTACGGGATTTCTACTGGTATGTTAGCATAAGCTAATGCTGGTACGCACAATTTTTGTCTGTCCCAGGTTAAGCACAGAAAGTTGAGGTCTGTAGCAGACCTTAACATATGTTTTATCTTGTATATAACAGTTTAACATTGTGTCTTACAATAAATAGCGCTGACATAATATTGTCGCCGCTGTGTAACGTTTCTTTGCTTTTCCATTTATGACTGAAATCTGGTTAGACTATGGCTCATATTCAGTCAATGAACTTCCAGTTCTCACAAAATTGGTCCCGCCCGTTGGAAATCAGACATGATTGGTTGAGTCCTCTGTCACTTCCTAATTATGTTAGTAGTTAATCTGATGTGAAAGGCCATCAGTTCAGATCCTGAAGTCCTGACCAAAGGGAGAGCTTGCTTGGCTGTATCTTTGTAGATACTACAGTGGGAGAAAATAGTGATAGAAGCATTTTTAGTTGGCATTTCAAGATGTTTTGTTTTTTAATGCAAAACAATAGTACAATACAATGCAACAAGCATGATGATTCTATTACTAATATGAACTGAAAACGTTTTGATTCCCAAAAATCATTAGACCTTATTTGAAGGCCTAGAATGGCCTGAGGGTTCCCAACTGCCTAGAAGCACATTTTGTCCATGACTAAGTTCTGTGGGCAAAGCAGCAGTAATATGTATAGATTAAACAGTAATATCCACAAAAGGGGAGGAAACTAGTTTGACTCTATAAGTTAATAATTAGTTTATTATACACAAAAAACATCATTCATTGTAATGCAAATAAATGAAAGCATTTTGGCTAAGGCTTTTCTTCACCATGTGGTATCATAACCATGTAGTAACTGGCTCTAAAACTTCATATCGCCTCTGTAGCTTCCTTCATAACCTCTACACCTCACCAGCGTGTCAGCAGCAGGTTGTATGCGCTTGCCGTAAGCTCGTCAGGGTCCAGCGGGACCTGCTCTCTTTTCTTCCATCTCATTGCATCATTCCCTATTGTCTGCTCCGGGGCTGCAGCACAAAGGCTGTCTATTGGGAAAGGAGTCGCTCAATAGGCTGGGACTACCTTATTCTTTCCCGCTGTCCTGAAAAAGGCCCAGACAATGGCTCTAATGTGGAAGGGGTGGAATGGCTGCCGTGGTAACATGGGAGGCTGCTATGTTTAGTGTGATTCGACCCCACAACCTTTCGTTAGAGTTTCGAGACTTCTCGACGTTGTGTACTCTGCAGACTTAGCAGGGTGATGCTATGCATCTGTCCGTCACTCTGTAGCCATGACGATAGTGACAGAAATGCCAGTATGTATGAAAGTTGCAATGCATTAGCATTATTAACTTAAGCGTTGTTTGATTTAAATGTAATTTTAACGGCCAGTGGGATGTGTATTGCCTGACCGTTTAAGATGATTGGAGTCATTTTCATTTGATTTCCTTTTAATCCTGCACAAAACAACAGTTTACTGTCTAATCCATTCAGAAGGTTATAACCTTCTTTGCTGGACAGATGATACTAAATGAGGGTCAAGTAGTCTAACGTAACTATCTGGTAATCATTTTAAAGAATCTATCATGAAACACACACACACACCTACACATTATTGGTGTATCAGTCATGAAATTTTAACGCAACAGAAAGAGGAGATCTTTTCAAATTATGTGAAAAAAAGACAAAAATGAAGATAGGAGGTTTTGTTCCAACAGCGATCATAAACATATAATAAATAATATATTAAATAATGTATCACAACTTTTGCACAGGTCACATTTCATGTTTTATTTTCTGGCGATGTGTAAAATTGGTTTGTTAAGCAATTGTGCATTAAAATGTTCAGAAATTCATGTATTTTCTGTATAAGTCGTGTTAACTTATTTTCACTAGAAAATCAATTAAACTTTTGCGTATGACTATGTATGTATAATTATTTGAAAATATATATAATTAATTCTGTTGAGTTTAAAGTCTTGGAGTACACTTTAACTCCATAATTTAACCAGTGCTAAAGTGGCTAACACTTAACAGAAGCTATTTTGTCCTTAAACTCTATAGTTTAACCAATGCTTAAGTGGCTAACACTTAATTTAAGGTATTTTTTACTTAAACTCTATAGTTTAAACAATGCTTAAGTGGCTAACACTTAATTTAAGGTATTTTTTACTTAAACTCTATAGTTTAAACAATGCTTAAGTGGCTAACACTTAATTTAAGGTATTTTTTACTTAAACTCTATAGTTTAAACAATGCTTAAGTGGCTAACACCTAATTTAAGGTATTTTTTACTTAAACTCTATAGTTCAAACAATGCTTAAGTGGCTAACACCTAATTTAAGGTATTTTTTACTTAAACTCTATAGTTTAAACAATGCTTAAGTGGCTAACACTTAATTTAAGGTATTTTTTACTTAAACTCTATAGTTTAAACAATGCTTAAGTGGCTAACACTTAATTTAAGGTATTTTTTACTTAAACTCTATAGTTTAAACAATGCTTAAGTGGCTAACACTTAATTTAAGGTATTTTTTACTTAAACTCTATAGTTTAAACAATGCTTAAGTGGCTAACACTTAATTTAAGGTATTTTTTACTTAAACTCTATAGTTCAAACAATGCTTAAGTGGCTAACACCTAATTTAAGGTATTTTTTACTTAAACTCTATAGTTTAAACAATGCTAACTCTTAACAGAAGTATTCTTTTTACTAAAACTTGATAGTGTCAGCAATGCTAAAGTGGCTAACACTTTATTTTTTTAAAGATTGTATGATGTCATGCTAATTGAGAAGCTAGCTTTCATTCTCTCTTATTAGCATTGTTTGACTTAAGCATGTTTGGAGACATTTTCATTTCATGTGTACTGTTTAATTCAGCCAAAGGATTTTAGTTTTGGAGATTGAAGGTTAATAAAGCTAATAGAGGGTTAAATAGTCTATTAAATAGGTCTATTAAAAAGATCTGACTAGATTCTGGCATGGAATTTGAAATAAATGATCCCTTCCCAAATATATATATATAAAATAAAAAATAATAACCAACTATTTACACGTATTCAGTCCTGGAGTCTAACTGAGCTGTACACCTGCTTCAATCCATCAGCTAATTATCAAGCCGTCATCAGTTGAATGAGGTTTGTTAGAGCAGGAACAATAATAAAGTGTGCAGTGTGACCCTCCAGCAGAGGCTTTGAGGTGACAGATGTCGTCCTGACCTTAGAATAGCTTGGGATTAGCCATTAGACCACCCTGATTTGAAGTGCCACCCCCTTCCTTTTTGAAATTTAAGTGTATTTAAGTGTTCATTTTAAAAGATTTGTTTCACATTCTTTATACTCATGTGTATGCACTCTGGGTTTTTGCCCCTGTGGATAGTATATACATTTATTATAAAAAAGGTTGTATGTAAATATATTGTTGACTCATCCTGTACAGTTTATTCTCTAGTAACTTTATTAGACCACCTTCACTCATTGTTACTTCATAGTGCATACAGAGGAGTGTGGTTTGCTGGGGCAAGTACTCTTTTAAACAGCCATTCTTTCTCAGCACGCTGAAGCCCTGTTTAAACATTCATAGCAGGTTGATTCAGTGTATTTAAAGTAGGAGACTTAGACAAATTTGGCACCCAGCACAGAGCGAGCTCAACAAACACGTACAAGTTGGGAAGAGCAGAGAACTGAAAACAGTGAATGAATTAAAGCAAAGGGCGTACACTGGTGGTACAAGGCACTTTGAGTTTGCATTATTTAAATGTGTCAAGTGGTTACACATGAAGAAAATGGGTTACATCAGTACAGTCAGGGCTGCAACATTGTGTGGCTTTAAAATCCCCCACTGCTCATTAGGTAGCAGGCAAGAAACACTCTGTACAGGTCACAACTCCATCACAGGGCAGGCAGACACACACACACCCCTAGGGGCAATTTAACATCTCTACTTCACCTCTCCACACAGACAGGACCCTGGTCACCCAGCCACAGAATTGAACCCAGGCCCTTCTTGCTGTGAGGTGACAGTGCTGCCCACTGCCCCACTCAGAAGCCAATTACAGTCATTCATGCTATCAGTACCAGATGGTCCTTGGCGGAGACTGAGACTGAGGCTCTTCAGATAGGCCTTGTCACTGTTAGGCTAAGGCCAACCTCAAAAGACCCGCAATTCCTTAATGTCCGCTTCCACAAAAACAAAGTTTTATCTTTGTGTTATCTGCACTTATTTGTGTTTTACTGGTATAACCATTCTGACAAAACTTACCAGAGGAAGAATTTTGACTGACATTACAGATGAACCTGTATA